AGACTGTGACGCGTTTGTAGCTTCAACGTTCAACGCCCGGACCGCTAGTGCCCCCCCCCTCCCCGACACGCACACACAGCCAAACATGTGCAAGTCGCCCATCTGTACTCAACACACACCAGAGTAGACACGTGCGTGTGCCAACAGTGTATGTGTTGGTATGGAAAAATGCAGCTGATTGGTCGCATGCCATCGGGTAAGTGAATAATGACAATGGTTCACGATGCAGGTGCAATGGATGGTTTCCGGGAATAGATAAAGTTCGTTCTGGGAGAAAAATGAGTGAAGCCACGTCTGCGGGGGCTGTTCACACTGGAAGCGACCTCATTGAATCCGAGCTCGTTGAATCTGGGTGACTTTTATTGGTTTTAAAGAAGGAAAAAAAACCGGGGAAACAATCTCATCTCGTTGAATCCGAGTTCCACTGTATGAGCGCCAGAAGATTAGAGGTGTTACAAGAGAGTAACACACTTAAAAAAGAAGAAGGGGAGGTAAGGATGATAGATGTTTCATAGGAAAGAAGAAGCAAACCACGCCAGAGCACTTGCCCGTGCAGAGGCACTTATACAGGATATGGCAGGTTCCTCAGTCCCATGAGATGGTGCTCCACCGAAGAAACAGAGGCATGGCTGGGGCACTCATTTGGTAAGAAAAGTAACTCTGGTCAATTAAAACATTATCAGTTTCAGTTATCAGCTTAGTCACGCCCATCTCCTCCAGACATCAGAGGTACATGTACCTCTGATCACGAACACATGGCTACTCTCTGGCATACAACACATGACACTCTCTGATGTACAAATAATTTCAGTTGTAACTTTCTGGGGTAAAATGACACTCCATGGTGCACAGCACACGATACTTTTTACACATTGTCTGGCGTACTGTACAATATATGACCACTCTTTCGCATATGACACATAACTCCATCTGGCACACAACACATGACACTGGTATACAACACACAGCTTTCTAGCATATTGCAAAATGACATTCTGACTCTGATCTACAACACATGAAACTCTGTGGTACAGCTCATGGCACTCTAGTACTAGTAGTCTATACTGGATCGAAGCTATCCTGGCAAACTCTTCTTGTCTGGACGTATAAACCTGTGAAAGACATGATGAAAAAACAAAATAGAAAACGACAGCAGGAAAAATGTAAAGTCAGGAAACTGTACACAATGACAGTGAGTGGAGTCCACATAATTATCATGAACTCAACCTAAATTAGTTTTCATTTTACCTTTCTACAAGCCGCAGTCTAATGATTAGATCAGCACTGAAAATCTTACAGTTACAGCAATTCTTAAAATAAAATAAAAAATTTTGTTTGCCTTATCAAATTTATCAGTCATGGTTTGTCTTCTTTGCTTTGTACAGTTTCTTTCGCTGAGGTATAGGAAAAAAATCAAATCTCCCTCCCAAAAAATAAAATTTTTTGAGTGTTTTGGTCAATCTATCATTGTTGGTGGCTACTCTTTTCTAAGTTGGCGTTTGTTGTCAAACATTCAGAAAAGGGTATAGCCGTGTGTGAACATGTCATTGACTCAACATGAGCTATAGCATCTTTCTTCAATCACACCCCTCCACTCATGCTGACATGACTAGATTCAGGGAACACGTTCTTTAGTGAGATAATGCATGCAGTCAAACATGGGTAATTTGAATTCATGGGGATTGGAAAGAGTGTTCGAGATTTCCGTAATTAGTCATGTCAGTGAAAGCCCCAAATAATACAAAGAAATAGAGAGAAAATCAAGGGAGGTACAAAAAAAACTCCATTAAAACAACTAACGTGGTTTGCTCCCTTGATGAATGAGTTGACGGTATGGAAGCAAGAAGATTTTTTTGGGGGTAAGTGTTTTACGGCACTCCCAACTGCATGAGGCAAGGCCATATGAGCACGCGGGACACATTAAACTTTTTCAGTTGGTAGGAAATTTTGAATTTTGACAGAGTGGCGGCCGAAGCTTGTTGTTATGGTTTTAGACCACCAAGGGATCTTTAACGAGCGCAACTTGCACACGGCCCTCCGAGATTTTTCGCCCTTGTCCAAGAAGGCTAGGCGTAGATCTTTCCTACCAGAAGATCAGGGGTGTGGCTGAAAGACAGCAGTAAGAAGGAGCCAAGGAGTAGCAGTAGAAAGACTGCAGAAAGTCAGGAGCCCAGAGGAGGGGGCAAAGGAGGTGAGGGGGTGGGGGCAGAAAGAGGAGACGTAACCAGACGACAGACCATTGCTAGAGAGCAGGAAAGGAGGTGAAGAAAGGAGACAATTTTAGAGAAGAAAATTTTTCGGTCGCTACCCAGATTCAGACCCGGGACCTTTGAATGAAAGGCCAACACCTTAACCTCTAGGCCACGAGAGCCCCCAAAGCCAGAAGATGAATGAAACTGAAAATGGAAAGAAGAAAATCTCATGTGTGCAGAGCCAACTCCTACGTCATTCCTTTTCTGTCATTTCATTGGCTTACAGAAAGTTATGCCTCTTGTCATCCGCACCGCACACGTCCCACAGCATGATTGCACGTGTGGCGAGCCAGTCTTCGGTGCGGTCAGCATCACTCCCCAACCCCTCTTCCCCTTCCCTCCTTCCTCCAACCTCTCGTGGTCCGACAAGGACCACGTTTTGGCGGTAACAATAACAAAGAAACACCTACCCGCGGCCAGAAAGGCTGTAAAGCCGGGTCTTTATTGAGAATGCAAAGTGGATTTGTTCGAGATTCAAGTGTTGTGTGTTCGGGAACTCCGTGAAGTCAATACAAAGAAAACATAGGGACTGAAGCGGGACTGAGCATTATGTTCTAGATAACCGGGAATTCGTGATTTTCGTGTTCGAGATTCATGGACTTAACTGCATACTGACAGCATTGTGGGTATCACACTGTGTGAGGGTGAGCCTGGTGGTTGGCTCGTGTAACCTGACACTCTTGATGATGATGGGTGTGTTGTTTTCCATTGTCATAGCTGTCACTTTCCCGCTAAATAGCGGAAACTCCGCTTCATCTAGCTTTTCCCGCTACTTTCCTCCTTCCTCCGCTGGACCGCTCTCGGTCGCAAATTGCGATACTTTTTTACACACGGAAAACACCAAACCAGGAGAGAGACGAAAATGCAGCCTGCGCATGTCCGCCCGTAGCTTTCTACTTCCGTTCTTCTAGGCCTAGCGCTAGTTTCACTTTGTTTATTATGGAGCAACAAAGTGTCAATCGGGCCTGGGGACATTAGCGCGTCGAGTTGTCATTGAAAACGGCGGAAATTCGAGAGAAATTGATGCAGAATGCAAAAATAAAAGGAGCTGGAATGAGAAAGAAGCAGCGGGTGTGCGACTTGAAAAGTTCATTAGAAAATTGAACAAGCCGCTTGCTGCACTTTGCGTTTGGTGCGATAAAGAAATCGTGGCCCGCGGCACTCCTGTACAATTGCATTCCCGTTTGTTTACATGACGGCTATTGTGGCTGTTGAAGTGAATCTAGATCTAGATAATCTATCTGTAGATATAATCTAGATTTACCCATATTTAGATATTTAGATTCTAGATCTAGATTAGAAAGCCTTGGCTATAATTTTAATTCAGGTTAGATCTACACACTACAGAGGGACTACTAAGTTAAGTGCAAACGGGACCGCAATTGTACAGGAGTGCTCAGTACAGCGGCAAAGGTGTTGCCTCCTTGATCCAATAATGCGCGCGTTCTACATCGATGTACAAGTTTAAAGTGAAAGAAATCTTTTTATTAGACACCAGCTTGCAACAAACACTGGAATTGGATTTTTAGTCACCAAGTCCAAACTGTGTCAAATTGACTCAAACTCAAATGCTTGTTAGTCTACTTAGTGCCTTTGTTTGTTTGTTTGTTTTTTGTTTTTTTTTCAAATACATTTTAATTCGGTTGCCTATGGTTAACAAATATGACAGTTTTCCTTTCCAAAACTATAGGCTAGATTTTCCAGTATATTGCCTCTGGATCTCACTGGTTTCACTCCGGCCTTTGGAGAGCGCGCGTCCGCCTTCGCATGAATTTCCTCCTTTTTTGAAATTTCTGAGAGGCAGCTATGCATTGTGCATTCAAGATAATTGAATTTGAGACAATTGTGAGTGATCAGGTTTTTCTAGAAAAGCTGTTCAAAACATCCATGCAGGTGTTTCAGAATACAATGCTGTTAATACACAAAAATATAGCCGTTCAGTGGGTGAATGGCATATTTTATTATATTACGGTATTCGAGCTATCTTTAATTTCAACGTTTGTAGGCTCGAGTTATCTGTGCTGGAAGCAAAGGGATAAAAATCAATTATTAGCTTTAGTCCCAGTTTTTCTTCTGTTTTCTCCTTTCTTTTGGAGGGGGTATTTTTTTCATGTAATCCCCCAAGATTGTAAAATAACCAAATGCCAAAAAAAATTCTTACCTCAGTGCACATGGATATCATAGAAACAAATGAGACAGAATAACTGCATCTTTCATAGTCTAATTCTTTACTTATACTTATCTTGGATAATTAAGAAAAAAAACCCAACTTTTTGTTTGTGAAAACTTCCTCAGCAGGCCCTGTGCTCTTTGAAGTGCCATGAATTTAAAAAAAAGAAGAAAATTCTCCAAATATGTACCCAAATAAAATGCAAACTGCCCAAGGAAGATCAATGTAAATATATAATAATATGCAGAAAATTCACATTTGAAATTGTTCATTTTCCGACAGCCATATACACAAACACAAATCCACACACTTGCAGCATTAGAACATAGTGTTGTTGAGCAGTTTCAAGAGGTCTGCTGAAGGTACCTCATACTACAGTAGTCTCCGCCTAAACGCACAGTGCTCGGGATGGTTCTTCAGCGTGTGTTTATACGGAGCGTGCGTTTACATGAACCTTAGTAAAGGGAGGAAGGGACGCAGTCATCTCATTGCCTTGATATTCTACTGACCTCCCTTTGGGGTGAGGGTCAATTTTTGCCGATAACGTGACTGTTTTGTGAAGGATTCCCCGACTGCGGTTATGACTACAAAGGCGTTGAATGGGGGGGGGGGGGGGGGGGAGAAAGACAGCCTCAATGTAAATTAATGTAATGAATATGCACTATAAAATGTCGGGAACAAGTAAGAGGAAACTGTTAGAGATAGCCATAGATCTAGTCAAAGAGACGACGGCGCAGCCACGTGGCTTTCCAAGCGACCACCCCCTGACCGTAAATTCGCGGACAACATCAGAATCATAGATCTCTACATTCAGATAAACATTTCTCTTGTGATTTGTTGAACAAGTACGTTACAAGTATAAGAATACATATAAGTTCTTTGAGCGCATCTGATTAGGCTTACCTGGCTAATCTTAAACCCTATTGAGGCCTATCTAGTGTTCTACTGCATTCACACGTGTTGCGCATCAGGCCTGGGTTTAACTAAACATTACACGCAGTCACCCAAATACCAGTCAGAAACCTTCTCTCAAAGATGCATTTCCAGTGACCAGTCAAAAAACAGTTCAGTCCCCCTACCCCCCTCCCCGACCAGCCCTAGACCGAGAACCAGACCTATGTGTCTGTGGAAAGTTGGGTGTGAAAACGTTGTCCATCACTCTCTTTGTTCCGTGTGAGGGGCACTCTCACCCAAGTTTATTGGCTTGTCTATGCAAGCTGTGCAGGTTGTAGTGAAAATTTCCCCTTGTCAAGCTTAACCTGTCGGCGTGTTTCGCGGATCGGAGCGTGCGTTTAGAGGGAGTGAACGTGCGTTTCTACGTCTAAATTATATAGTAAAAAAACCCTGTCAGATGACGAAAGCGTGCGTTTGAGCGGAGCGTGCTTTTGTATGGCGTGCGTTTAGGCGGAGACTACTGTATATCATTGACTCATCCTCCCTACATACTACTACTACCACCAAACAACACTCTCATCTCACCCCCTCCCCCCACCTACATAGACATACCCCAATCACACATCCCTCCATACACACATACCCATCAGCATAATTACGTACCAACACCCCATTCCCCCCTCCCCTTAACACATACACACCTGTAACGTGCTGCCTCGCTTTTCAGAGTCTCGGGGCTGTAGTAGTCCATCAACAACTGTTTGTCTACCAGATGCGGGTTGCTTGACAGGAATTCCTCAAATGTCTCATTAGCATGCACGCTCTGTACAATGGCATCAGACACCAGGTGGATGAAGAACATGGTGATGGTCTCATGGTAGCCTGTGGTGATCTGCAAGCAAGAAACCACACTGGAACTAAATTGTTGACATCTTTTACAAGATGAAAGGGCAAAGAAGAGCTCACCAGATACACCCAAAATGCCAATTAAGCTTCATGTTTTTTATAAAGTCCCCCCCCCCTCCCCCCCCAAATCGCCTACTGAATGGGAGTCTTTCAGTTTCTCTCTCTAGCCAAAAGTCTTTTAACACTGAAACAGAGTGTCTCTGAGAACTGAGCTAAGTTAATAATTACCTTGTCACGGTTCTTTTCATTGAACTTTTGGATGCCTAACCTGAGGAAACATAGAAGAAAATAGGAGACTATAGGACAACGTAGGAAAAGAGGAAAGCAAACATACATAGTAAACACACGGACAACACAGGGAATGGACATCAAGTACAATATAGAGGGACAACATAGTAAATGGAGAGTATCCATTGAAGACAGAGGTTTTAATTTTTTTAATATATACATGTATTATTAAAGAGGTTGTATTTTGAGAAAAGAGAAGCACATTAACTTCAATATGAAATAGGCCATTTAGTGCAGGAAAAAAGCCTGATAGACAGACAAAAACTACATAGAGAAAGTAAAGAAGTAGAACTCATCAGTTTCTCCCTCCAATCAACTATAGAAGAGGCTTCACAGGCTTAACAGAGAATAAACTAAGACATAGAAGGTCCACAAGACATTCACAAAATTAAGACTTAAAGCAAGTACAGTAGTCCAGATGGAGAAATAAATATGCCTAGTGGCAGGGCTGTCAGGCTCATAACATAAAGGTTGTGTGTTTGAACCCCTTCACAGGCCCAATGCTGTGTTCTTAGCAAAGTCACTTAAAATAAATTTTCCTCACTTTGCCCAGGTGGGAATGGGTACCTGTTTATTAGACGGTGAAAGAATTCGTCGGTTTATTAGTATTTTAGCCTTATGGGTGCTTGCACATTATGTATGCTTCATGGAAAGCCAAAAAATGTTTCTGGGTGTTTTGGGGTCTGCTGGGGTACTGATAATTGTAAAGCACATGAGCATGCTGTAGAGCATGGATACGCAGTATACAAAAGCGGTTAATTATTATTATTACATGTATTTTATTAAGTTGTAAATGAGCCCAGTAATAGGGATTTAAACAAGTCTAGTGAACAATTTCCTACTTGATGTAGGGGACAGCTCCCTCCTTGCCATGTTCCCGGATGTAGTTCCATGCCATGCGTACATGCGCCTCATGGGTCCACTCCTCAAAGGGTAAGGTCGTGCCTTCAAATGCGGAGAGAAAAATCTCGTCTCCAACAGATCGGAATTTGCTGCAGGGACAATGCAAAGAGAATTCATGTTTGAGTACTCTTCAGCACAACTGAGAGGGACTAAGACACATGACTTAATAGCTCCATGCTTTATCACCATCAGGCAGACCGGACAGACCAAAGTTCACATCCCCATTTACTATTTTAGTGTCCCTATAGAGTTAAGAGTTTCCCTCCTCTAACAAGATGCTTCGAAAATTGAGGACGATGTTTCTAAACGGACTCGAATTTTATAACAGAATACACTATTTTTAAAAATAAATATAACAGATAAAAAACAATTGACACAAAACATTTAGATGCAAACCTTTTTATTTAAGTCATTTCTGTTTTCGAAAATAAGTTTCTGGTATTTACAAATTTTATGTCAAACAACTTCCATTTGAATGAATTAGGTCTGTTCTTAAGTACAGTTATAATCCGCTTATATCTACATGATGCTTTGGGAAGTGGATTTGATGTCAATATATGAAAATGTCGATAATGAAAATATAAAGCGAAAGAGGAAAAAATAAGGGGAGTTCAGCGGTAAAAGACACCACTACTTTTTAAAGCTGGCTGCTTCCCTTGATTCTTGAAACTAACAAACGGCAGAGGGGAAGGGGGGTTGGAGTAACAGTACCAAAGACTGAGCAACGCGAAGCGCACACCACACGCCAGAGCAAACTTTGCTGCAGCATCTTTGTAAAGCCTGTTTATGGCCGCTTGCAGGGGAAAATGGAAAGGCGAGGCACCGACTTGCTGACTGTGGTACTTGCCAGCGACAGACTGAGAATGGGATGGTGAAGGGGAGTAGGGGTAGGGAGGTGATGCCCAGTGCCCTAGACGCTAACGTCTGTGAAGGACTGTACTGTGTTGGAGACTACAATGTGTAGGCCCAACATGACCTACTAAAGCCTGCTGTGTTGATATAGGCTACTTGGCGGGTATGCGGACTTAATGAAGAACTACAGTAGTCTCCGCCTAAATGCACGCCATACAAAAGCACGCTCCGCTCAAACGCACGCTTTCGTCATCTGACGTTTTTTTAAACTATATAATTTAGACGTACAAACGCACGGTCACTCCCTCTAAACGCACGCTCCGATCTGCGAAACACGCTGACAGGTAAAGCTTGACTAAGGGAAATTTTCACTACAAGCCTAGAAAATCGGACATTTGGCGAGATTGCCCCTTACGCCGAACAAAGAGAGTGATGGACAGCGTTTTCACACCTAACTTTCCATAGACAAAGGTCTAGGATTGGTCGGTGAATTGTTGGGGGGTTGGGGGACTGAAACGTTATTTGATTGGTCACTGGAAATGCATTTTTTTTGAGAGAAGGTTTCTGACTGATGTTTGAGTAACTGCGTGTTGGCTAATGTTTAGTTAGACAAGCCTATGATGCGCAACACGCGTGAATGCTCGTTCATGAATTTATGGTCGGGCGTGGTCGCTTGGAAAGCCACATGGCCGGGCCGTCGTCTCTATGACTATCCACCAACAATCTTTTCAGGCTATTGGTTCCTGACTTTTTATGGTTCATCATTCATTACATCAAGTCTGTCTCGCTGCCCCCCCCTCCCCCCCCCCCCCCACACACACACACCCATTCAACCCCTTTGCAGTCTTAACCGCAGTCGGGGAATCTTTTACATAACCGTCATGTGTTGTCACATTATCGACCCAAAGGGAGGTCACAAGAAATACTAGAATATCAAGGCAATGAGAAGACTACGTCCCTTCCTCCCTTTGTTAAGGAGGTTCATGTAAACGTACGCTCCGTATAAACACACGCTAAGGAGCCCTCCCGAGCACCGTGTGTTTAGGCGGAGACTACTGTAATGCGTTGACCATAGCGTGGCTTTTCTCCCCATTTATGTGTGTGGGCTTCGACAGGTACCCAGGAAGCATGTTGATAAAGCAGAGTGGGCCAAAAATAAGTTGATATAAGAGAAATTGTTTCAGTGAAGATATTGAATTGGAAAATATGTTGATACAGTCGAACCTGTGTAAGACGGAATCGCAAGGGAGCCCGAAAAAAATTCCGTCTTAGACAGGGGAATTTAGGGGGAGATGGATGTTGGTGGGGGGGGGTTCAAAGGCCCAGCCGGTGAGATCAAGGATTGCTTGTCCGATCGGCAAGCAGTGGTCAAAACTTCACACCTCTCAGCTGCTATCCTGTCTGATAATGACATGTGTCAGTCTTACTTATCCAATTACCACCAGTGCTTGCCTTTCATAGGACTACAGTTTGACCTATTAAAAGCAGAAACGTTTGAACATCTCCTTTGCTTCCACCCTTAGCCCGAACCACCCACCAATGCCACCCCTGACTGCCATGTAACAACGATTCGAGGAACTCTTTTCTCGGCTGGCCGTACGATCAGGGCGGCAGGCATTGGTCAAACTAATTTCACACCTCTGGCTTCTGGCTACCCAAGAAAGTTTCCGTAGTGGCTCCCTACTCGAGCACTCTCACGGGCAGTCGTGAGATTTCACACCCACACTACACTGACCATCTGCATCGCTCAGGGCTCACATGACCGGGTAACATATAACATATACCCCCAAATTGCTCCCCTACCACCCTTCCTCGCCCAGTGGCATGACCATAGCGTTAAGTATAGAGCTGGCGGAACCACACTTGTGAGTTTTGTTTCAAATCTGGGCTGAGCGGGCAAAGCATTTTCCGTCTTAGACAGGTGAAACCCTCGGAAGGGAGCGGATTTTTCTTTCCGTTTCCGCGTCGGACAGGTTTCCGTTTTACACAGGTAATAAAAGAGGAATATATCAAGGGGGGAGCGGGGAGATTCCGTTAAGACAGGTTTCCGTTTTACACAGGTTTCCGTTAAGGCAGGTTCGGCTGTATGTCAAAATATAGGTAAATCGGATGTCGATATAAGTGGATTATACTGTATAAAATTGTAGAACAATTTTTGTTTAATTAAGCTATTCAGAGAAAAAAGTTGTAAACATTTTTTTGGGGTGTGAATAATATATATAAGTTGATTAAAAAAGTTATACACACCCATCGAACCAATTTAGATAATTTAGGAGGCTTGCTATTTCGACTTGGGCTGAGTGGGATACAGTAACCTACCAGAAGATGGAGATGCTTAACAAGAGTGTTTCAGAGTGCATCATGTGCATGCAGCCCAGCCTGTCTGTGGGAGGGTATCCATCAGGACGTCAAAAAAGTGCACATGTGGGTATCACCCTGTGTTTGCAGTTGCATGCTGCTTATGCCTGTGTGTCTGAAAGTCTGATTGTGTGCACATGTCTATACACATATATATATTATAAATATGTCTGAGTGTTTGTGAGTCAGCATATATGCTCAAGTATTTGAGTGCTCATGAGCCTCTAGGTGGACATGTGTCTGTGTATCTGTTAAAAGTGTTTGCACTATAATCACATACGTGCTGTGTGTGTAAGTGCAAGTGTCTACATGCAATGGACTCACCGAGTGAAATAGATGAGGGGCTCCTGAAGGGTCTCCGACACGCTGACCCCGGTCACATTCCCATACCAGACTGTGTGGTCGCCTACGCCGTGGTAGGTGTGAGAGTCACAAAGCAGCACGGCCAGCGAGCCCAGGATGATGGGTAATCCCTGACACCCACAGATGACAGGTTGGTAAACAGCACATAATCAACAGCCAATTAGAACACACACACACACATACTAGATCAAACCCAACAGATCTAACAGTAAGCCAGAACACAAATTCACATATTAACACAGGCTTGTTCTACAAAACATTTGCAGTAAAACTACAAAGAACTCAATGGACACCATCCAAAACCAAGACCTTCATCTTATCTCTGGCGGAATGAGATCCTCACCGACTGCGGCCTGTGAAATCCACACAAATATTGAGCCATTAGAAACTCGAAGAAAACGGGCAGCTTTAGAAGTATATGAAAGATCTAAAAGGCTAGAAAATAACCACCCTAATAGAATCCTTGTTGACAAGGGGAAACCTAATCAAAGACTAAAAAATACAAAATCTGTACTTGACACTGTTCTCAATCTCCAAGAAAAACATCACCTCCCTGAAAGACGAGAACCTCTGGAAAGAGTTCCCTCAACTCTCCCACCACATCTCACCATAGCAAAGCCAGAAATTAGGAAAACACTTTTGGACAAGAGCAATAAAAACACATATCCTGTAGCACTATAACATTCTGCCCTTGAAACAATTGATTCCTATCCACCAACATGGATCCACTCATACACTGATGGATCTGCCTTTAAGGCAACAATCAACGCTGGATATGGGTCAGTGATCAACTTGCCCAGTGGGATAAAAAAAGAAGTCTTTAATTCCAGCGGGTCCTTCTGCTCCAATTTCATTGCAGAACAACAGGTTATCACCAACACAGCAAACTACATCAACTACTTGCTTGACACTAACCTGAGTAGAAATATGAATACGAAAAAGTACGACGACCTAAATTATCTACTTTCAGTTTCGTGCTCAAGCGGCAATTTTGAATTTTGTTTGTTTACTGATTGTTCAGCTGATCAGATCATGTGGATTCATTCAAGTCCGACTCACTTGTTCCACTCTAGGTCTAGATTTATAGATCATTATAGACGTCAATGGAGGATTCATATTCCAATTCTATTATAGGTTGTGCTGTTATACCAATGCTGGTAAAACGCATTTCATCAGGTGCGTGAATTATCTACTTAGAATCTAGATTTCTCGTTGAAGGCCTATTCCTATTCACTTGTTCTACTAGACTAGATCTAGATCTAGATCAGATTTATTTAGATTACTAGATCTAGATATATAACTATATGGAGGATTCATATTCCAATTCTATTGTATCATTGTATCAAAGCCTATTATAGCAAGGTAGGCCATATTATGCTCCTTGTTTGTTTTGGAGTGGCCTTTTTTTTTTTTTTTTGACTTGTGCTGGCCTTTTTACATGAGGGCCGGGGTAGGGTTTGGGTAAGGGTTAGGTCTCTTCTTTATTGTGTTTGTTAGGGTGGTCGCTTGTTACTCGGAAGTCCTTCCTTTTATGACACCCACAATTTAAAAGTTATGGGGGGGGGGGGGGGGTGTGCAATATTTTCAGACAATCTGATTGAGGCTCACATGCAGGTCTAAGAAAAGAAAGGAGACTTCACAATGTACCAATTCCAGTAATTAAAACAGCTGTTCCCCCTGATGACGAAAATCTCAAACAGCATGAGAGTGCGCGTGTTTGAGCTGTGTTCTGACCGTCATTTCTGCATTTTAAAATATTATTTTACCGGAACACTTCTCGTGTGGAAACATACCCTCTCACATCTAGGCCTAGATCTAGATAGATTAAAGCCGGGAGCTTGGATTTTCTGATCAGGGGAAGAAAAGAAAATGGAAAAAATGAAGGTCTCAATCCAGATCTAGACCTACCCACCCAGAGTTCATCCAGTTTCACACAGTCCGCATCATGTTCCCACCCACCGCCTCCCATCCCTAATGTAGGCTAACCCTCGCCCATCCCCTTGGCTTTGGGGCCCATATTAGGAGGCACACTAGATCTATCTAGCAATACAATGTGTTAGGAATCGAGGATGGGCCTTGTGCTTCGCGTGAGATGGAGAGAAAGAAGAAAAATTCTTTGCTTTTTGGGGCCGCACATTGCTTTTATTTGGTTATCGCGACCTCGTTGAAAGCGACTTCTGTCTGTTTCCAACCTTGTTGGAGCTGATGTGTATACAAAGAGATATTGAGGTAAAATTTGGGATTAAGGATTGCCTCGTTAGAGCCAACTTCTCGTTGAATGCGACACCCACTGTACCCCTTTTCATCAAAGATCCATGCCAAACAATACAAGTTACAGTACTCCTCCGGTCAGCCTGTTTATTCCAATTTTTCCACCTCAATCTACCAACAGATCAAACAGAAACTAGAAAGGTTGTGGTCTGTTAAGAAGTCAACTGTTAACAACAGCACTCATCCCTCAATTTTATCATTTTTGTTGCGAGAACAGGAAAATCAAGAATACAGTATAATCCACTTATATCGAAATCTGATTTATCTACATTTTGACATATCGACATATTTTCCAATTACGAAATTTTTCCTTCAATACCTTCACTAAACAATTTCTCATATATGTGATGCAGCGTGGTGGAATCAGGCTCTAGTCAAAATAATCAAAGTGAAGAAACTTGCATTTTTCTGCAGGTTTGTGAATTTTTTTCCAAATTTTTTTTTTTTTTGGCTCAACACCTTTCATGCCCATTAAAGAACTCATTTCTGTGTGGATTTTTCTGAAAACATTGATTAAAGGCACACAAATGTAAATTTTCAGTTACCATGAACTCTTAAGCTAAGGAAATACTTATTGCTAATCTCTGGCGGCCATTTTCTCACTAATTTTACCTCTGAAAACAGGTGACCCCCACCTCCTTCATTCGCAAATATCTCAACTTGTATTCAAGATAAATGGATATTTTTTTCATCCAAATAAAGACAAGTGAATAAGCTTTAAGATGATACCAATAACTCTACATGCCCAAAAATTGACGAGAGCCTGATTCCACCACGCTACCTCACATATCGCCTTTTTTCCGGCCCACTCTGCTTTATCGACATGCTTCCTGGGTACCTGGCGAAGCCAAGGAACATAAATGGGGGGAAAAGCCACGCTAACAGTCAACGCATTAGTTCTTCATTAAGTCCGCATACCGCCAAGTAGCCTGTATCTACACACCAGGCTTTAGTACGTCATGTAGGGCCTACACACTGTAGTCTCCCACACAGCACAAAGCCTCACAGATGTGAGTATCTCGGCACTGAGCATCACCTCCCTACCCCTACTCCCGATCGCTCGCCCACTCCCCTTCCCCATCCCATTCTCAGTTTACCGCTGACCTCCCCTTGTTTTTTCTTTTTTGGCTTTATATTTATCGATATTTTTATATATCGACATCAAATCCACTTCCCAGAGCATGTCGATATATAAGCAGATTATACTGTAGTACTTTGATTATGGAAACAACTCATTACTTGGCATGGCCCAGATTTTAATTTGTGACCATCAGGTAGACACTCTGGTTTCTTGACTACGACACCCTATCATGCTTGTTTGAAAACAATGCACAGATTCAGTTTCCACAATAATATCACAGCTTAGTACTCATAGCTTGCTGGTTAGACAATAACATAAAAAAGATCAGCTCCCCCGACTTGCAATGTGTCTCTCATCTCATGAACAACAGAACTGGCTGACTGATCTATATATTTCATCTCTACTTTTCTTTCATCCATTCACGGTTTCTGTCCCCTTTATAATTGGTGGTTCAGTAATCAACCTATTTAGCTGTTTGTTGATTTTTTCATATCAGAAGGCCAAATCTATTATTAAATAAAAGGGCCATCTCGCACAGGTCACTACAACACCCCCCCCCCCCCCTTTCAAGAATGGAAAATGTAAAGGCACAAGTGGTCAGGAGCTAGATCTACTTACCTCCTCTCCTTGTACATGTGGCACATTGTCAAACTGGCATTCGCCATTGGGAGCAGGTTTAGAGAAGTGGATTCCGTGGTGTATCTGGCAAACAGACAAGCACATAAGAGTGATGTAAAGATAAATTATCTCCGTTAAGAACACAATATACAATAATAAAATAATGATACTGAATAAGAAATATATAATCTGTTGTACGAACACATGGATATGGTAGTGATATAATTTGAGATCTATGCATTGTCTATCATGATTAATACATGACTCATACACAATAATAAAATCACAATACTGTATGACATATATGTACCATGTATACTCTGACTTCATTGAGTATTGTAATAAGAAATCTATCTCTATGTATTGTCTGTCATAAGACAATGTCATACCTGGTCTTGAGCCAGGATGTGAACTGCAAACTTCTTGGTGCTCTTGATCAAGTCATGCATTCTGCTGAGGGAAGAAAAATGACAGTGGAAATGGTCACACATAAAGTATAAATCATATAATTATGATATTTTACATAGAACAGTTATAGGTCACTTGAGAGAGAAGCATAAGACAACTGAGCAAAATCAGAGATACCAAAAACAATGGGATAAAAAAATCCACATCCCCATTCCTAATTCCATTTATAAATAATATCAATAACTTGTACTAATTGACTTGAACAACAACAACAATCAATTTTAAAAAAGCAAATGAATACCACAGTGCTTGCAACGGATTGCAGGCTCACTTACGATCTTCGCTGTCTCTTTCTCTTGAGACTCTCTAGAGTTATGTAAACTCATTATGGTCTACCTTTCCCTCTCCTCACTTTCAGTCTGGTAGACAGACTAACCAGAAGGTATCATGACTATGACTGCTGTTGTTCAAGACCACAAGTGCCTTATACTTCCAGAAATAATGAAACAAGAGGCTGGAGGAGAAAAAGGAAAGAGGAAATAGCTAGTCTTACCCTATTTTTACAAACAAGAAAACAATTTCGTAAGAAATGTATAATCAGACCTGGCACTCTATGAATCTAAAAATCAGGATTTCAGAGTTAAAAAATCAGGATATATGGGGAAAAAAATCGGGATTAACGGCAAATCAGTCATAAGGGGCGCTGGGGAGGGGTCCTGGTTCCCTTTTATGGGGCAAGTATGCAAGACAAAACTTTTGCAGGAATAAGTTCACGTTTGGGCCTCTAAATAGAGGGAAAACTGAAAGACAGCATAAATTGAGTCGGAGTTGGATGTTGTTGTTGTTTTCAAATCCCTTTAGCTGCGAGCATTTCGCTCTTGGCAGCGCAATGCCTCCCTCAAGTAACCACATGTCCTTGTCATCTGGTCAACGCCAGAGTAGAGCAGGCTTTGTAAGTCTGTAGGTGTGTGTAGGAGCTTGCGTCGAAGAACTGCCAGGTTTGGGCAGTGAAGGAGATGTTCAACAGTCTCCTCGTGGTAGTCACAGTGTCTGCAATAGGGTTCCCACATGGGATTGATTCTGTTTATATGCTTGTTGGTATGTAAGTGTCGTCGGAGTTGGATAGACTGGGGGACTTACTTACTTACTACCCATTACGCCATCTGGCATTTAGGGCAGCAACAAAGGATCTCCAGCTCTGTCTGTTTTGGGCCATCTTGGTCAGCGTTCCCCACGAATGATTCCAGGACTTCATTTCAGACTCTACTGTGCATCTCCAAGTCACTTTGGGTCTGCCCCTTTTGTGACGTCCTTCGGGTGTCCAGTGGAGGGCAGTCTGCACAATAGAGTCTGGTTCTCTTCTCAGAACATGTCCAATCCATCTCCATCTTCTCCTTTTTATTATGATGGTCATGTCCTCTTGTCTACATTTACGTAACAGATCAGCGTTGGAAATCTTGTCGGGCCAGAAGATTCTGAAGATTTGGCATAAGCTGGTTGTATGAAGGGAAGATAGCTTGGCACGGTCATGATCAGTCATCCTCCAGCATTCAGCTCCATGTAGGAGTGTGGATAGTACACAGCTATTATACAGCTTTAACTTGGTTTGTATACTAAACTATCCTGACTTCCAGATGGTGATCATGTTTCTGTGTACAGATCTTGCCTTGCCGAGTCTGTTCATGATGTCTTCCTTTGTGCCGCCGTCAGTTTTGATTATGCTGCCTAGGTAGGTAAATGTGTCTGTTATAGGGAGGTCTGTGTTGTTCACCCTAAGCAGCGTTGGGGAGCCCATCACTTCTGTCTTCTTCTGGCTTATTCTTTACCCAATATGGCGTCCGTATTTGTGGAGTCAGTTTGTTTTTTCCTGCATGTGCTGGTTGGTATGGGAGAGTAGTGCAAGGTCGTCGGTAAAGTCAAGATCCTCGAGGGTGGAGAAGAGAGTCCACCTTATGCCTCTTGATGTATCCTCTGTTGTTTCCCTCATGACCCAGTCAATGGCCAGATTGAACAGAATTGCTGACATGTTGCACCCTAGTCTTACTCCTGTCTTTACCTCAAAAGCAGTGGTACTGTTTCCAACAACGCACTTGAAGTTTTGGTAGAAGCTCTTGATGACCTCTACTATCTTACAAGGGATTCCATAAGACCGTAGAATGTACCAAAGACTTTCTCTAAGCACACTGTCGAATGCATTTTCAAAATCAACGAAGTTGACATAAAGTTGTCTCTGCCATTCCGTGCCATGTTCTATTATGTTGCGGAGGGCAAATATCTGATCTGTGCATTTTCTTTCTTTGCGGAATCCTGCCTGTTCTTTTCTTAAGTTTAAGCAGCTGTCCACGACATCCGACATCTGGGGGAACTGACAGCAACGTGATACCTCTTCAGTTGTTGCAGTCTCTAAGAGCTCCTTTCTTTGGTACTTTAACAATGACTCCAGTGCTCCAGTCCTCAGGAATCTGCTCTCCCTCCCATATGGTTTTGAATAGTGGCTGAAGAATGTTGGCAGTCAGTTCTGGGTCTACTTTAAACAATTCAGCATTCAGGTTGTCCATTCCTGGAGATTTTCTTGATTTCAGGCTCTTTACAGCTTTTACAATCTCGTGTCTCTGTGGTGGGTCAGAGCTGATATCCAGATCCAAGGTAGCTTCCTGTATGTCTGGGGTGTCCTCAGGTGGAGGTTGGTTTAGGACTGGGGGAGCGCAGGTTGCAATAAAGCTGAAACTCTCGTAGTCTTGAAAATTAGCTGATACATAACTCTAATCATCCATGCAAAAAGCCAGCATTTTCATACAGTAACGACATATGACTTCCATTGCATAATATACACTCGAGGCACCCCCCGCCCCCTGAAAGAAAGATCGCGCCAATGTTGTTCATTTATTTATTTTTTCTCTTTCCTTGAACCTTAATTAGTACATGTATCACGGCACACATTTAAAGCCCAAGGGTAAAAAAAAAATACCCCCTCCTCCCCCCCCAGTCGTCCACACTGGTTAAGTCCCGAAAAACACCTCAATCAATGCGACCGGTGTGATTGAACTTTGTTGACCCCGAGAGCCGACGATCCCCGACACACGCGCTACTCACACGTACGGGGTCATGTCACGTGATGCCAATGAGCGTTTGAAAGTTCCACTGACAGGTCTTGATGATGGGCCCGACTAACTAGAACTCAGACGAAGCTTGCTTTTAAAGCAATGGCAGAATAAGGAATAGATTATTCTTAGGCCCATGTCATAATTGTTAAAGTAATCAGGACACTGTCGGAGAATAGTGGGTTATAAAAGCGAAAGTAGATCTTGAGCGTATCCAAGTCGGAATTCAAAACCGATACGTAGGGTGTACCATCTTTGCCGATACTACGCCGATTTTAGTTGAAATAACGTGCGTGAGTCATCTACTAGATTCGGCATAGATGCTGCCGATAAAAAGTCAAATTGGAGCTTCCAAGCAAAAGAGACTGCAGAACTTTTAATATTTTTTTCTAAGACTCGGACGCAACAGACGCAACGAAAAAAAATCAGGATACTTGTGATCGAAATCGGGAAAATCGGGATGCTTGAGATTTGGGGTAAAAAATTGGGATATCCCGATTAAATCGGGATGAGAGGCAGGTCTGATATAATGCACAGTCTCGCAAAACAAAAAATCAAGATCTAATTTAGTTTTAGCAAGAGTTTTACTGCACTTGCAACACAATAAAGTCACGTAATTGACGAAAATTAGAGGTGTTACAAGAGAGTAACAAATACAAAAAAAGAAGGAGGGGAGATAACGACGATAGATTTTCAATAGGAAAGAAGGAGCAAATCACACCAGGGCACCTGCCAACCACACACAATGTCAAGATCATCTAAATAAACTGATGTAATACATAAATCAAAACAACATAAAGTGGGTGGTTGGAAGGTGTTCTGGTGTGGTTTGCTCCTTCTTTCCTATCAAACAGCTATTCTCCTTATCTCTCCTCCTTTTTTTTGGTGTTATTTACTCCCTTGTAACACACCTAATCTTCAGCACCTATATGACCTTGTTGAGTTGCAAGTGCCGTAAATTTCTTAAGAAAACGAAAACAACAAAAACAAAGTGAAATAGATCCAAGGGCATTTCGCTAATAGCTGACTACAAAGTAAACGTAAGGAAGGCTTCACTGTCTCTACAATTATAACAAAAGGAATAAACATATTGCATCAGAGTCATTTCTAACTCTCTGTTTCGCCATAACAAAAGGGCATGATAATGTTTTAATCTCTTAGCAAACTGTACTTTTAGATTATGTTAAAAGAAAATCTTCCCTTTCTTCTTCTTCTGGATCGCATCACACTTGAAGTCCAATATCAGTGCTTCCAGCAGCCGAAGCTGAAAAGTAAGGAAAATTCTGCTGGGGGTCTGGGGGCCGCATAGGAATTGAAATTTAGTACTTTTAGAGTGTTGAAAATGGCATTTGGGAGCTGTTTCAAGAGATTGCCAACAACCCATACTACCTATTTTTTCACCCAGATTTTGTCTTGTTTAATTTCTTCACCAATATATCTTTCCATTGCTGGCAATGTTTAAAAGCAGGTTCCCCTTCCATTGCTACTATAATTCAATTAATTTGTCATCGCACCTTTGATACCGACAGAAGGCAAACCTGGGAATAATGAATAGATATATGCAGGCCGTACCTTCACAATACAGTTACCAGACCTGCCACTCTATGAAGCCTCAAAATTAGGATCTCAGGGAGAGAAAAATCGGGATTTGGTGAAAAAAATCGGGATCAACAGCAAATCACCAAGATGACTGCCAAAGCTGACTTAAAAATTTTCCATGTGTGTCCATAAATTACTCGGCCTATATGCTCTCTGTGTGTCTTTGCGTGCGTGTTATCATTATTTTTTGTAAATCCTGAAGCATCACGTCAAGCACTCCTAGTCCAAAAGTCCCTACCCCCCCCCCCCCAACCAATAAGTCCCGAAATACATGAACTTAGGTTGACCCCGTCAACGGACGGTCCCCGACACGCAGAACTCACACGGCGATGTCATGTCACGAGATGCGTATGCGCGATTGAAACAATTTTACTAACAGGTCCGACTAACTGCACGTTCAAACAAAATACTCGGATGAGAAACAGTCGTTCTACTTCTAGGATAACGACGGGGGCCGACCGACCAAATTTACCAACAAATCTCTTATCCCTCATAATGCGTTCAGACTAAAGCAACGACAACGGCCATATGTTAGTCTTGCCAGCGCAGTTTACATGTAGTTGTGTAAGGGTTAGAACGACTGTCGCTCGTCCGAATCTTCGCAATGATAATTTCTCTAGATCTAGAATCTAGACAATCTGTCTAAAATCACATGTCAATATACTTGATCAACGCGCAGATTTTTCCAGCCGCGGCAACAATCCGAAGATAGACAGACGGAATGAGGGAATGATAGAAAGGAGGAAAGTGGCACAAAAAGTTCGCCAGATTTTGATCAATCTGCAGATAAAAAATGTACTGCCGACAAGCCTGCAATGAATGCATGGGGCAGAGTAGAATAATGGCCGATTGCAGGAAATGCGCAATCTGGCAGGTTTCTATAGCATAAACTATTGCCGAGAGAATTACCGTAAATATCCGTAACTTATACAAGACATACGAAGGCGAGTACAGATCTTTTGCTACGGAATTTCGGTAGTCCTACGCTGTCGCAGATTTTTACGGAGGGAGTTGATGATGATGGAGGAACAAGTACGTAACTGGCAGAAAGTACGGATTTCCGTAAAAATACGGAAGAGTGGAAGCACTGAATATCTACCATATACCAGGCCGTCCTGCTCAGTTCTTCTGATGGCCTGTGCAGTTTCTCCTGTCATGTCAATAATGATTAGCCACATAAAATGTTCCCTAATGTTGGCCCACACAAAAAGACTTACTTCTCTCGACTTAAGCACAAGGATAATATGTAGTCTGTATTTGACATAGCATCCCCCCCCCAACCACCCATCGAGGCAGAAGGTTATATCTGCTGAAGAGTGTGACTTGCTTCCCTGGTTCATAAAGAAGATAAGTATATCTAGACATACCTTCCTTAATTCACACCAAATGGGAAGTGTATGTCTTCGGTGTAACTTACCTCCCCTGACTCAGACAGAAAGAGATGATGGGTGGTTGGTAGGAGACACTGGAGAAGGTACTGCATGTAACCCCTCGCTTGAGCCACTGGCGTGAATCTGGCTGGAACTGACCACTTGTCACAACCACCACTAAAACAATCCGCACAGGTGAACAGAACACAGAGAAATGTTAATTTGAAATTTCAGAGACATAAGTTTGTATGCATGAAAGAGAAGAACATGAAAAGATAACTATCACTTAGGGCAAAAAAACAACAACAACCCCAAAACAAGGAAGGAAGACAGACAGAGTGGAAGACTAGTAAAGAAATAAAGTTTACCAGTAGTACCCTCCATCAACCAATTCATTTGCTGGTATCATGGCCAGAGGGTGGGGCAAAGAAAAGGTCAATATCAGGAACTGAAGCTACAGGAAAAGTGGACCTGGGTGAACCCACCACAGGCTTACAATGACACCCCAAAACCACCCACAATACAGAGAGACAGCTAACACTAACGCTTGCTGCAACTTTGGCTCTTTAGTTTTTAGTTTTAGTAAGAGTTTTATGGCACTTGCAACACAATAACGTCAAGTAAGTGCCGAAGATTAGAGGTGTTACAAGGGAGCAACAATTTTTAACAAAGGAGTGGAGATGTACGGACGATAGATGTTTTACAGAAGAGAAGGAGCAAACCAAACCAGAGCACCTGGAAACCACCCACGTCGAAGATTAGAGTAACAAACACAAAAAGAAAGAGGAAAGAAAAGGATAGATGTTCGATACGAAAGAAGGAGCAAACCACACCAGAGCACACGCCAACCTTTGAAAGAAGGACAAAGTAGAGGACATAAGTCACCAGTATCAAAATACAAACTGAACACATGACCAGCCCTCATCTTTGTTTCAGTCTTGCATTTCATTCTAGGTACGATTTAACAGGTCAGGGGTTCACAACAGCAGCATGACAGACAGCACGAGGACAACACATGGCACGTGTTCAACAAATGGTAATGCGATACAGGTACAACTAAACCCCACAATTAAGACAATACAAGCAGGTAACAACACACCACATAGGGGACAACACACTACACAAGGACGGCATAGCACAGTACAGCACGCTGAGACACCCTTAATACGTGGACTGTACCTTGCTGTGGTACTTTCCTCATGGCCAATTTGAAAATATCCGAGGTCTCCTCAGAGGCTTGCTTCAGCTCCACCTCCTCCTGCCGTCTCTTGTGTCGTAACAACACCTCAATACTGTCTGGTGGCTCCCCTGATCACACATAGAGGAAACTAGGATGAAAAAAACCAGGTTAACACATCTATCCACAGCATGCCATTGACCTGTCCACCAACCATGTAGCTGATAACACAGGCTACAGCAGACAGTGCTTGGAAAGAACTCTGACCAACTAAATTAAGGTGAAAATAATATCTTTTTCATATTTTCTTACCACATTGGAAACAGGTAGGGTAAACTCACAAAATGACTTATACAGTTAAATCCGAGTCCCCTTGATATTCTCTCAAGAAAATCTATGTAGAACCATGGACACCTCAAAAGCAGATGACAAAGACATAAGCCTACATTAGACCATAAGTTAATGCTGTAAGAGTATGACACTGAGCATAACCTTGGTCAGTCAAACACTCCTATTCCTCAACCATCAGTTTCCATCACTTTTTTTGGTTACAAAACTCTTCTTATAAATTTGAAATACATACTCCCTTTACCTCTACCCTCAGTCTACCCTTCTACACTATTCTTTGTCTCTGCTTGTTCTGTTTGGCTCAGTAACATGTCAAGTGCGTATCCTATTTAAAATGTCATAGAAGCCGACAAAGTAACAAATTAATAGACAGAATAAGACATATTATTGGACATAGTCTATAGTGATATTCCATCCCCCACCTCCTTCCCCCCTCTTAATCTTTATCGGATCATACAATTTCTATGGCATATAAACTAATAAACTGACCTGTGGAAGAGAACAGCCGGACTGACGATGAGGCAGGAAACAGCTGTGATGTTTTTGACCTGAGGAGTCTCTGTCTGAGAACCTTGGGGTACAGTGGGAGACAACACTGCCTGCCAGAGAGACAGGCCCTGACAAAACTGGTCACAGACGTGGCTGCTGACATGGTAACCAGCTGGGAGACCTGATGAAAATCATGATGAGAAACTGACAAAGCTATGGAGCTTGTGCGCTATAACATTTTTAAGTCATAAAGAGAGACATATTGACTGCTTTTAAGAAACCGTCAAACCGGATGCTGTTCTGAAAACAGACATAAAGGAGACTTGTCTTACATTGAGCAGTCAAGATTCTGTCATCTACAACATGAGAGTTACATAGTAGCTCCAAAAGAAGTATCAAAATGTTAGATTCTATCCTATTCCTTTCACAACAGAAGGACAACAGCCAGATTAATCAGAAGACAAAGTCTAAGGGCGGTAAGACCTCTCAATGTGAGAGAGCTTCCCTCCTAATGTCACAGGAACTTGATCCATTAAATTTCAATTAAAATTTGTTAACTTTTATGTGATTTAGGTCTAGAGCTAAGAAAACACAGTGCTAGACTGAAAGTTCAGTGGGTATTCTTTTACTTTTCCTCTCGTTTCACACATAGCTACTATGTGTCCATTTTCTACTATTATTATATTGATGCACTGAACACAAATATCGACTTCATTTCAGTTGCAAATTTTAATTTTGTAAAATATTTGATTATTTTTAATTTTAATTTTAATGGAACTATATCACAATAAGCCTCATTGTGAAGTATTTCCGTGCTTTGGACAAATCAGGGTGTTTCAGGGGGGCATAAAATTTGGAAGTTTTAAGTTACCCACAATTTGACGTTTTGTAGTCAGTTTTGAAATGCTTTTTGAAAATAATTGATTTGCGACAGTTTTAGTGGCTATATTATCATGTGTGATCTGCAGCGAAAAATACTGCAATTTGACCAAAGCAGTGCATCTGTGTGCGGGAGTGAAAGTAAAAATTTACCGCTCCGCATACAATGAAAGAAAAGAAAAGAAAAAGCCTAGAGTCTAGATCTATTAAATATATATATATCTAGATCTACCCAGTCTACTAAATAAAGGCCAGCTCTATTCGGACTTGAGTCCAATTAGATTTTTTATCTATTCAGACTTGAGTCCGAATATGAGTTTTATCTATTTGGACTCCGGTCTGAAAAAATGTTTTATTTATTCGGACTCCGCTTCAAGTGAGTTTATGTGAGTTTAAGGAGGTTACATAATATAACTGTTGTCAGGGGATTTTACGTAAAACCAGAATTAGAACTAAAATTACCTACTAGGACTGTGTAATTACTAATTGTGTCAAAAGTCAAAAGACTGCACTCTCATTGCTCAAAGGCAGTATACTGAAGTACACTGTAACCGACAACTCAGGGTTTTCCACCACCACTTGCCTACAGCATCATCATTACTTCCACCACCATTTGTCTTTCCACATGTTTTGTTGTGAGTCACATAGTTTTTCTGTAATTAATTTTTTTTAAAATCACATCGGGCAAAATCGACAGCCGTGGCGTTCTCCCCAAAACCTCTTCCCCCAACAAGCCGAGAGTACAAGATCGCTACGCGCAATCTCATTGGTTCACATAATTAACTTTGCCCCGGAAAGGTCAAATCAACTTGGTTGTTCTGTTCATACTGACGATGCG